GGCGGGCGAAAGTGGAAATTTATGGGCCCCCGCCCTACCCTGGTCCCCAGGTAAAGCAACTTCTCCGTCCCCCCTAACTCCCCCGTTGATCACTGTGACCCGCTTTTCCCCAAAACTGCAAGGCTGGGCTCCCACCCAAATGTTCCCCCTCCGAAAGTCCACCTTGCTCTCAGCGGGGCCCCAAGGACGTCCAGAGTTCTGTGTTTTCTGTATCATTTCGCTTCCCCTCCTCCCCCACCTTCTGTTTTTTCTTCCTCTTTTTTCTCCACCACCCCCATCTCTCCTGGCATGTCCCCGTGTTGTGCGCGAGAACCAGGAACAGAGCGCCAGAGCCCGGAGCATTGATAGTCCTGACTTCCTGAGGTGGCCCTCCTTGCGCCAGCCCAGGCTCTGGGGGCCTTGCGGCCCCGGCTGGGACGCGGGCCAGGAAGCCGCGGTCTGTAGAGGCCCCTGTCCAGAAGGAGGAGATAATAAGACTAATCCCCTTCACGTCCGTGTAACAGTACCAGCCTCGCGAAAGAAGCTGGCATTTTCTCCCATGCATTTGAGCTGTTCTGCCAAGCATTTGACAGCTAAAACATTGGAAAAATTAGAGCCCCATTCTGAGTGTTGTGGCGCTAATAAGCTCACCATACCCGTCCCGTTTTTAGACCATGACAGAAAGAATTGTAGGAGTTTAGACTCGGGTTCGTTTTTGGTTCTGCCCCTGTCTTTCTCTTTATGACTCATGTGCATCCATTCCAGGCTCTTGAATGCCTTTGTTTTCTACCTCCTTTGGAAAAAATGAAGTTAATCGGTATCTCAGCCGGGGATTTTTTAGTGAGGACAAATGAGGAAAACGTATCTTTTAAAATTCTCATGGTATGGCTGGGCAGATAGTTGTGTTAATAAATGTGAAGCTCTCTTCTGTTTTTCTATGAGTTTCTCACAGAGGAGTGCCGTTCCAGATGTAGCAATAGCCCCAGAAAAAAACTGCGTGGTATCCAAGTGACACTCATGGAAGGGAGGCCCGTGTCTGGGTTTACGTGTTTCCCTGAAACACGGGAGGTGCGAGAGAGACACCTGGGTGCACACATGCTTGTCCAACCTGAAAAAGCAGCCAACGCCTCCGGCCGCGTCACCCCGAGTTGCGCTGGGTCGTGGTATTCCACAACAATATTTTCCTAATGGAAAACAGGGAGAAGCATCCCCAACCAACGGATGCCTGAGGTGAAACTGTTTTACTAATTTAGGCTCCCAGGGGTAAAACTGCAAAAACAGCAATCTGGAAAAAGTGTCAGCCTCCCCCCTGTTTTGAAAATCTGTTTTAAAAACCCGATTAAAAACAACAACAACAAAAAACCCCCTTCTCAATTCAAGGTCAATGACCACTTGTTGAGAAGTCAGCCTGACCATGTGTCTGCCATTTTAAAAAAGTTCACAGGCCAAAAGAGTCAGCAGTCATGTTTGCAGTGTGGATTTCTCCTCCCCAAGTACCTGCTGAAGCCACCGGTGAGGCCCGCTTTGTTCTCTGAGCCTCGACTTCCCCAAACTGTAACAATGAAAGAAATTAGATAAAATTATCTCAATAGATCATCTCCCAGCCCTGGCTAATCTAGATCTTGTGACTTTCTGCTCTCCCCTTTAAAAATACATCTGTGATTGGCCAGGAGAAACCCAGGAAGTTGCCTCTCTTTGGTAACATGACTTGGCGCTCCCTCTCGTAGCAGGCCCAGCTTTTAGGACAGAGAGCTGTGGGACTCCCGGAGGCCACAGTCCCTAATTTTGGGAGCCACGAGGCGTGCCCTTGCAGACAGAGCTCAGGCTGTTCGTGCCCATCAGCCTGGATTGGTGAAACTGAACCCTTAAGAAGCTATTTCCAGGTAGAAGCAACTGACCTTTGGTTGTAGGGCCTATATCGGGGCACAATAATAAGCCATCACCTGTAATGAAGCCGGGGACCCCGTAATGTGCACAGCTTACAAGAAGACTTTGAAACTGTTAAAGATGATTCATGTTGACGCCAATTTGTCTTCATCTGATTAGAAGCCATACCCTCCCAACCATCACGTACCATCGTCTAAAGAAAGAGCAAGCCAAAAGAAAAAGACATACTAATAATTGACAAGCACTTTCAGTTGATGTCATTTTGAAGTA